GTCATTTATCGTTATCGCTGGACAGCGATCTAGCGATTTTCTAATCTTATCTTTAAAGGAATTCGAGAGGGACGATCCTTCAGGTTCCGCTTAAGTTTTGCACTTTGCACTCGGCGCGTTGCCCTCTTTTATTTCTAGCGGGGCGAAAGTGAAAAACGCAAAGCGAGAAACCGCAAAGTTACTTTAAACATTAATATAGATCCTAGGTTACTTCTCGGCGATAAGCCCAATTTCGATTCAGGACCCTCGGTGACGCCACCGAGGCCGATAAAACGTTCAGGACCCTTCGATCGTCAACGGAGAACTTGTATAAATTTTTACTCGTATCATAAGTGGCAGTGGAAAAAAAAAAGTGTGGTCTCTAAGGTAACGGACCCTTCGCGCAAATGTCAATTTCCTAGGAGGTCTCGGGAAGGCAGAAGGCCTCTCCGTCTCTGTATCTTCTCCTCGCCGTCTTTATCTATCTCTATTTCTCTCTGAGGACGATTCGCGCCCACGTTGCTCTCTCTCTCTCTCTATGCCCGGACCCCGGCGGATCATTACACACCCTTGGAAAAGGCACGACGACGCACGACGACCGCGGGACACGTGACTCGCGGGGAGACGTGGTCCCAGAAGCGTGACACGCGACCCAGAAGCCGCGCTGTGCGTGTCAAATATATTTTATTTGTCGCGATTAGTTCCCGGGGAAAAAAAACTCCGGTCTCGTTTTAATAATCACCGCGGAATGGAAACTATTCCGTTAGTTCCACCGTCAAACGCAAACTGCATTACCGCGCTCATCCTAATTACGTAAGCGATCGAGAGGGGGGGAAACTTTGTTGGGCGGAAGCGTAGTTGTTTTCGAGCGGGGCAGAATTAACGTTGTACATACACGCAGTCGCATTACGGTGTATTTCCACGCCGACAACTGCCATCGCAACATCTCCGCGTTTGCCACCGAAATAGCGCTTTTCGTTATTAGGGCGCCCCGCATACGGCACAAGATCCCACGGTATTTAAAGATGAGTTGCCTAGTGGACGTTGGTTGTTTTAGGATCGTCCGCGAACGCATTTGGAAAATGTCAGGCTCGGTTTCGCGCAGAAGAGGCGGAGGACCAGGAATAGCGCCCTACTTGTCCGAGGTTTCGTCCGCGTTTCTCCATCGGAAATGGCGATTAGCGGCCCGGCGCGGCGGGGCGAGGACGCGAATTGCGCGAGGGGCAAAAGAAGACGATAAGACTTATCGTTGTTCTCCTCCCACGGCGATGCAGTTAGCGGTCCCGCTCCCTTTTAGGGCGACACGCATTACCGGCCGCCCTATCAGTCATTAACTTCGTTAACCGCCGTGCCACGAATAATCAAACTAACCGTTGTGCGCAGAGGAACTTCCTGCGGGACGATAAACGACGATAAATAACGAGCGTGTCGCGAAAATCGATTCCGCCAACGAAGACAGACTCGTTTTTGCGATACCGTAGTTCGAGTAGCGCCAAGCGCGCACGGGGCTCCCGCGTTTCACGAGCAAAACGGCAATTTCCATTCTGGACTTAAATTATCATTCGCCCCACACGCGACTCTGGCGCGACATTAATATTTAGCGTGTTCGAAGCACGCTACCGCAAGAAGTCTAACAGGGAGTCTCTCTCTCCCTCTCTCTCTCACACACACACACACACACTTTCACCCCCCCTCTCTTTCTCATAAATACACGGTAAACGCGCTGAAGCTTTTCGTACTTTCATCTTAGATTTATATCGCCGTTCATCTTGATGCAACATTAACGTTTTGTACGCTCGGAGAGGACACGCTATCGTCGAAGTATCCTATCGCCAAGGTATTTAAATACGAGAGAGGGCCTGGAGAACGCGATCCATCATGTCACGTTACCGCGGTCCGCTCTCCGCTCGCCGGGAGCGGCGAATACGTTGCCTCAGGGAGAAAGAGTACGTGTGTTCAATAGCGAAAAGCGGAGAATAATGAAAAAAAAATCGCGAACGGGGGGGAAGGGTGCGCGGCAGCCGCGCGACGCGACTTCGGGAGGCGAGGGTCGCGTTCGACCCCTCGACGAGCGATGTGAGCGCACCCTTGCTCCCACCGAGACTAAAATCGATCGACAAATTAGGTAAGGTAATTAGCGCTTCCGCGGTTCGCGATATCCTATTGTCGCCGAGGTTCGTAAACCTCCGTCGCACTTATTCCACACTGGCGGAGAAGGAGTGAATTTATTCGCGCGGACGAAAAATGCCCCGAACGAGGTTTTAGGTGAACAAATTGCACGACTAACGCAACAAGCTAGTCGAGCCAACGACATACATTTGTATATATGCCAATTGCGTGGATAAGTTTAGCGATTATCAACGTTAATAACCTTTAACGTTTACACGATACGATATTTGTACAAAGGGGAGCATCGTCATTTCCTTTTGCCCCGAGCAACGTTTCTCCTCAGGTTTTTTTTTCCTCACTCCAATTTTCCTCTTCGATGCATCAGGGGGTGTGTGCACCGCTGAATAATTGATCGATCTCCGAATATACGCTTATTGTACTTTCGCGAACCTTTAAAAGTAAAGCGCTTGTATTTTCTCGGCAGAAAGGACATAATGTCGCCAATTATCTCTCGTATCGGGACTATCTTTTTATTACAGAACGACGACAGTGGACTGACGGATAATCGAGGATAACGCAAAAACATCCCGTCGGATTAATAATTGATGTGAAATCGTTGTAAAAAAATGAATGTTGATTTTATCTAAGCGTCGCGCTGCGCTATTAATCCTACGCTGTCACATGCTTCCTTTGACTCGGGAGTGTGATAGATCAAAGCGATCACTCACTAGAACCGGCTCTCATTTCCTTGCAACGTCAGTTTATCTCTTCTTCCCTTCATTATAAATTCCAAACTACCCTCGCGCGCGCAAAGTCGATAAAGCTTCAAATATTTAAGATGGATCACACGGGGAGATAACTGTGCGACGAAAATTTTATTTCCCCTCGGCAAACAAGAGGGGAGAGGCTCGAGCTAAAGCGATACGCCTAAGCGGTCATTTAGTGGTGCATTTACCCCGCCGTCTCGAATTTGCATTTCGGTTTTTAACCAGCGCGATATCAAGCGGATATCACGAAGCCGTTCGGAGCCCGCGACTATTCCCCGGCGAACCGCGATCGCGCCCCGATAAATGTTGCATGAAATGAATATTAAGAATCCGTGTAAAGCCGTCGCCGCACGAGAAGGATCGCGGACCACACCGAGCGCCCTTTCCACCCTTTCCCCCGTCACCGAGGTGTAACTCGAGGACTCCTGTCGGGCGTCGAATTTCGTGGCAAACAATATCGATCGCCCGAGTATCAAACTGGTGCAATCGGCCGATAGCTCTCGGTGCGATAAAGCGGGGGGGAGAAAAAATTGGCCGAAAGGTATATTCGTCGGCGTGGAAAGGAGAAAAAAAATTAAGCGCGCAATTTATATTTTTCTGCGAGGGACAATTTATCTCTCTCTCTCTCTCTCTCTCGCAGCGAGAGAAAGCGAGAGATCGACGTCCCGCAGAAGGTCTGCGGAAATAATTTCGGTATCTTCCCTCTCGCGGGGACCTCGAGATCGGTCACGTATGGGCAAATGGAGACATTTGTCCGCCCGCCAGCGGCGCCCTCGAAGGACACTCCGGCATTTTACACTTTATCCCAGAGATTTAAGGGCTACTAGGAAGCGAGATGTGCTACGCGTTCGAAACTGCACAAATGTCCCGCGTGCGGCGGGGCTCGAAACGACGTAAAAAAAGAAAGGGGAAAAAACGAAAAAAAAACGGAGAATAATGAAACACAAAAAAAAACATATTTCGTACGGAACAAATGCACAAAACGAGCTCTGTACCTTCTTTTCTCGCAGAAATCGAAAGACCTATCTAACCGAAAGTCTTCATGAAAACGCGCAGGAAGCACACACGAGAGAGAAATATATATTATTATATAAATATATATGAGATATAAGAAAAAAATTGCTAGTATACCTTGCAGTTATACGAATGTTGCATTGTCTAACTGTTTGTTCCATACAGATCCAGATGTATTATTGTATCCGATGGAGTATTATATATCAAAATATATAATATATATCTATATATATTACGATTCTCCCGTGCAGTTTACAGAGTTCTTCCGTTTCTCCCAGTAAGTAAAATAATTTTGAATCGTATTTCAGTTGCAATTTCACATATATTTTGGACTTGCTAAATTTACTCCAATTATACTCTTTTCTTTTTTTTTCTTTGCAACTACATCGATACGCAAGCACGGCAAATAGCACGCGACTTGCCACGTGCTGGTGTAAAAGAAGGAGGAGATTTACTCTTGTAAAGAGAAAGCAAGGAAATTCTATGCCTTTATATTTCTGCTCGTCGTTAAATTAAATAAAGAACTAAATTGAAACGAACTAAATCTGCGCAAAGTCAGTGTTTTGAAAAAAAATGTGACCGTGTGAGTTTCTTGCAATATATCGCTTTGTCGTGGCCGTTTGTCCTCGGAAACTAACTCGTGAAAAAGTCTAAAAGAATTTACACGCTGACGTCACTTGTAAGAAAGTTTTAAATTTTATGCAAGTAGTACTTGCTTCTTACTGATATCTCCTTAACTCTTTAGTCATCGCGCAGTTTTTAGTAAGTCGGGCGTCTTGAAGGACCTTGTGAACAATCGATTTACAACTTTCGAGTTTATGTAAAAAGTATCTTATTTTGGAAATAATATTTTAAAGACCGCGCGCGACGGAGTTAAAATTTGTATCCATAAAATGAATTGGACACCAAAGACTGATGGAATCAGTAATATTCTATCGAGAAAAATTGAAATTTACAAGTCTCCCTCTCAACACTGCGGAGAAATGCGATAATTCGGATCAATCAATGGACTTATTATCAGATGGTAAGCCAAGGATGGTCGGTAAAATTCGTCTCCCTCGAATGAATTTCGTGCGCTTGGCATCATCTATAGCCACAAAGCGAAGTCGTCAAGTTTTCTCTGTAGATAACATTTGTGTGTCTCGAACGAGGATTTGTTCATTTTTTAATAATCTGTTACGCATTTGTCTTATATCTCATTTATTATAATTTTATGTGGACGAGAGATGATACCCTTCCGGACATGGAATACACAGTTGACAACGAAGAAATAAACCGTTATCCGTACGTAAATTGAAATATGCAATACAACGATGGTACACGAATTTGTGGCTAATTTTGTTGCTTCGAGAAAGTATCAAAAATGATTCTACCCGGTTCTTTATTCCGTTTTGCCCAGCTGACAGCCGTGCGAATAACCAATCGACTTTTCCGCAACGGTAGAATTAGCGGGATACATTTCTTTCGCGAACGATTTAAATAACTGCGGGCCTCAGGCTGCTCCCGCCGCTTGAAAGAAACGACAAATGTCCCGAACTAACCTAGTGTCTTTTTCTTCCCGCAGTTGGTACGCGACGCTCCGATGACACTGGTTGTCATTGTTGTCAACAGTTGTGCCGATCGCGTGTCCACCGAGCGAGGGAAAGAACGCGAGGGCGTATCGACGAAATTAACAGGACCGCCGCATAGTAAGTGCACCGACGACGCGGCGAGAATTTCGCCAGCTTGCCCGACTTGGGTCTCGGATCGCGCCGGCGTGTTTTCCCACTTACGTCTCCCCGTCCGCGTAACTTCGGAGCAACACGGTAATCTCCCGCCCAATTGCGCGCGAACAATTGTACGCGTATGTCGCGAACAGACGCGCGAGCCGTCGCTTTCCGCGAGACTCTGATGCACGAGGCGATATTTTCAATCCCGGTGCCTCGAGCGCGCCGCGACGTACACTTCGCCTCCGCACAGGTTATGTTGTGACCGCTGCACCTCTTTCTTGCCGACCGAGTGTTTATTTCGAATACATTCGCTTCTCGGTGGAATAACGTATTTTGGAGAAGTAATCCCATGAGAGGGAAGACTCGGGATTGCCTGGTAACCGAATCGAGGAGCGTTTGGGCCTGAGCAGAATGGCTGTCTCGTATTGTTTAAGACACAAGACAGTCAGTGCGCGTTGCTTTAAGACCTCTCTTCTTCCTCTTCAATTAGGCTCGAGCCTGTTTCTCCAGCCGTCCATCCTCCTGGGGGTCTTCTGGACGTTGGTTTCCCCATCTCTTGCTGTTCTTGCTATTCTCTCTTCCCCCATTCTGGATACGTGATCCATTCACGTCTTCGTCTTACTTTAAGACAAAGATTTAAAGCATAAAAGATAAGAATACAAGACAGCCATTCTGCTCAGGCCCTCAAATATCTTGCGCCGTGTATCCTGTAAAAGAGTGGTGCACTGACCGAGCGTTTCTTTACAGGATAAATGCCAAGTGTGAAGGATGAATCGGAGGGTGAAGGGGAGGAGATGTCTCACGACAGCAACGACAGCAATCAGAGCTCCGCGTCGTGCGACAGCAGCGCGGAGCACACCGACAGCGATGACTCGTCGGAGATGGACGAGGACGAGTGCGAAAGGAGGCGCAACGAGTGCATGGATAACCTGCTCGACTTGGAGAGGCAGTTTACTCTACTCAAGGAACAGTAAGTGTGCCGTGTTTAGCTCTTTTTATATTATTTATAATCGCTCCTCTTTTGTTACCATCGTAAATGTGCAAATTTTTGTAAAATAAGTTCAACATTTACGTAGTTGCATTTTTGTTCGATTTCCACCTTTTCTTTCAGAGGCTTAAATTTACTGTTGTGCGATAATTTGCACATTTTTGATGAAAATGCATAGTAAACATTTGTATTCAGGTTGTACCGAGAAAGAATCACGCAAGTGGACACAAAGCTCGGGGAAGTTCGCGTTGGAAAATCCGAGGAATACCTAATACCGCTGGAGCGACTGAAGGAAAATATGAAAACGAAAACGGAAGTGGCTGGAATACTGAAGCAGTACAGACTACAAAATATCCAGAATAAGTTCCTGGCAGAGGAGCTGGCCGCCTTTCAAAATTTCGAAAGCGAGAAAGGCCTGGTCTGGGACTGCATCCATAACGATCTGCAGGATAAGATACGCCGTTTGGAGGAAGATAGAAATAACGTGGATATACACGCGGACTTGTGGCTTAATACCACCGGCAGAAGACGCAGGAATCATTCGGACAGAAGACGAGCGGTTTCCGTTGCGGGCCCTTACATCGTTTACATGCTCAACGACGCGGACATATTGGAAGATTGGGCGTTAATAAAAAAGAGTCTAGGTAGTCGGAAAGCGGAAATAATGTAAATTGTATTTCGTGCGCGTTGGAGGGACGTTAAAAGTAGCTTTCTCGCATTACACGTCCATCTCTGATGTGAATAGGAATTTCGTTCAACTGGAAATGGTCTAAGATTGGACAAGCAACTGGCATCCATTGAGCATTTGATATCTGTACAGTGTGCCTTGATAAACAAAATAAGGGTGATTATTTACTAATCTAAATAATTGCCGACTTAAAATATCATATTTGCCAAGACGTACTTCTGCGGTGCACTAGTGCAGAAAAATTATGTACATACGACTATGTCATCGGAAAAGACAAATCACAATTGAAAGGAAAAAAAAGAGCGGATATATATATATATTGTCTGTACCAATTTCAGATAGTAAGAAGGTTTACATTCTGAGGCAAACGACAATTATGTTAATTCATATTGTCAAAAATAATTAGTTTTTATATTCGATATATGTAAGTCTATCTTCTCTATATTTATTTTCCTTTATCTCCTGTTTATTACATCTACTTAATATTTTTCCATCTTCCTCGTTTCAGAAGAAATAAGACAAAAGTGTATCTACATATACCTACACCTCTCTTGTCATCTTCCTAATGAAGTATCGAAATAATCAATATTTCCAAATTATCGCAATCATTATTCATTAGAGAATAATAATTTCGTCATTTTCTTCTTGCATTATCACGGTCTAGTCGGAAGAAAAAGTTTAACTGAATAGTGTTTGAAACGCGCAACCTTGACACGTGATATCAAAAACTGATCGTCACTAGTAAAATTTTATATTATATTAGCATATTAGAATTTCATTTAAAGACATTTAAGCGTACTTTGTTCATTCAAAGGCGAATGTAAAGAAGAATTGTATAAATATATTTTATTATTATACTGTTTAATATATATCTCATAATATTTCAATTCTTCAAGTATATGACAAAGGACTATAGTCCTTAAAATTTTTGTACAACAGTAATCAGTAGTATAACACATATATTGACTGAGAAGAAGATAAGCGAAAGAACTGTATTATAAATAAAATGCATTTTAATTTTTTTACAGTATAACCGGCATATGTTGGCATCGTTCCAGTAGTTCAAGTTTTAATTAATATAATGCGGCAATTGATGGAGTCTTAAACCCTCATCCTATCGGCGAAGCTTGCAACAATACCGACAAAGTGAGCTCTCTTTTTCTTTCTGCTATTCTGTAATTTCATTGAGGTGATACAAATCGAACCGTTTGTTCTGATTCTTTTAAACGCGTTTTAAACATTGTCACAAAATTGCAGCAACGAAACACAATACGTTCCTTTTGCTGGCGACATTCAGCGAATTTCCGTCGAGCTCGGTAACGCGCGTCGAAAAGATTCAACGCAACTCTCGAATCTGCATGCCGTAAACACGATCTTAATTCGCGCCGTTCGGTAACTCGGGAGGAAAGAAGTGATGAAGGGAAAGAGAGGAGGATAATTTTAAATGTAATTTTTATTTAGGCTATGTACAACACATACGTACAATACGTGACCCTTGCTTAAAACTATGTTACGCTCGTCCGGTATGCATTTCCACTTAATTTTTAATCTTGTCCTCTCGACACAACGTGACGCGTGTAATCTCGCGTGTTGGACGCGCGGACATGTGCGCGCCCACGCACGACTTTGTGTGAATTTTGTGTGAATTTTGTGTGTGTGTGTGTGTGTGTGTATCTGTTCATGTGTGAGTGTACCGTGTGCACGATATGTTACAAACTTTTTTTTAGGAACATTTCTCGTGGAATGCCGCGAGCGGTAATAATAAGGTCGCAGCGAAACTACACGAAAACAATGCGCAGTCGTCTGCAGCTTCATCCTCGAGTCGATATATTGATTAGACAGTTATCGAAAAATGACACCAATATAGACGATTGTTGACTGGACAGATTCCGAATATTTATGACTGAGAGGCGCCAGGGAGAGAAGTCGCGAGTCGCGCGTTAATTAGCCGTTTGCGCCCCGCGCGGCGGTCCGCTTGCAAAATCCCTCTCTGATGTCTCCGCGGGATTATACAATTCGCGATACCGGGGTGAATAGATATTGGTATTCGTCGCATAAAAAAAAAAATTTCGCACGCGTTTGTGGTGACATTTCTCAGACTCGGAGTGCTTTAACGGAACGGCAGCTTCGCCCGATAGCTTCCTTTCCTCGTAGGAAACTGTACGAGGCGCACGCGATTCCCCGTCTGGGATCGCGTGTAAATGTAACGATTGTAATTGGAATCGATGCGGGACTTGGTCGACGTGGAGCGCGCTCAAAGTGCAAACGGTTAAAAGCGACGAGAGCTCCGATTCTGCTTTTACGCGGGAAAGCATCCGGACGACGAACGATATCGCAATAATTAACCGGCTTGCGGCAACAGGGTGAATAATGTACGCTCGGCAACCGTCTCATCGACGATTTTCATTTTGCGTGATATTCGCAAATTACCCCTCGTTAATGATACATAATCGCCGCGGCCGTGTTCCGCGCTTCCATCCGCGATATCGGCCCGGAGTCATTCCGCCTGTTGATGCAACCGGCACGACCATTGCGAGGACAACATTGTTACACGATACGATCTGTTAGCGAGTAATTACATATTTAATCCTGGATATGGATGAGATGGAGCGCGACCCCCCATCTTTCTCGTTAAAACTCCGTCGGCTCCGCGGGCTCCTCGCGATCGCGCGCGGCCTGTGCGCCTCGATTGTCCAGGCATCGAGATCTCCCCCGATGAGAGAGAGACTTCCTCGCCGCCGATGCGGCGCGATAACGTTTCCGACCTGCTCTCGTCCAGGATTCGAGAAGCGCCGCGACGCCGACGCGCCTCCCGACGGTCGACGCTCGCGGAGGCAGCGGCGAGGGCGAGATCGAGAACCCCCGGTTCCTCGCCCCGGCCAATTCACCCTTCCGCGATCCGTCGTTCCGCGCGCCTAGGCGTGCGCGGCGCCGGACACTTTCTCGTGCGTGAAATCGGAAGAGAAGCCGCCGCCGCCGCCGCACGCAAATCCGCGTCAACTCCCCGGTCCAGTTTCCGAACGTCTTTTCGGCCGACGCGCTTACGCACGTCCTGAAAACCGACACGACTCTAAAAAATATAAACGACGCTGTCGTCAACGGCCATCCCGATGTCTCTCCGCGCTTCTTCTCGATAATTTCCATTCTATCAACTTCTGTGCCCCCCCCTCCCCCCCCCCCCCACGTGCGCCGCTCTCGGAAGATCGGATAATACGTACTTACAGTTCAGCATCTCACGCGAGGCGCGAAAGATCTCGTATGTTTCTCCCTGTCGTTCCTTCAGTCCCCCCTTTCAAGTCGACGCGTGGCGGCGGCGTCCGGTCGCGGCGCGAAGGGGTGAGTTCCGGGCGATCCGCGTCCGGTCGCGACGGGGGGAAACCTCCCTGGCGCCCCTCAAATTTCGAAACGCAAAAACACTGTCGGAATTCCCCGCGCGCGCCTCCTTCCGACGCGCCGCCCTCCCCTCCCCCCCCCTCTCGTTATCCAAAATCGTGATTCAACATAAGCACACAAATCAATGCCTAATATCATTCACTAAGGGTATGCTTACACTTTTAAAAGGACATTGAAAAATCGCATATGCTAGAGTATCTGCCGATTACGCAATCTCTATATGTATCTATATCTCTTCTCTCTCGCCCGCTTATGTACAACACCGTCCCCCCTGTCCCCCCCCCCGCCCCTCCCTCGCCATTTCTCTCGCTAATTAACGAAGGTGTGTGGCACGTGTCGTTGTTAGGAGATTAACGGAATACTGCGCGCGCGCGCGAGTGCGTTAATTACGCGTCTCTCGGAACGGAAAGAACCAGTCGCGGGGAAAAGAAACGTAGCTATACGTAGAAAATACGCGGTGATCTCGCGGATCTAAAAGAAACGGGCCCTATACGGCTCTCTGTACACGTTAAATCCCCACCGCGATTCGCGAGGTGCAGGGTGTCTCGGGCATCGCGCGTGATGAAAAGAAGTGACAGATCGGGTTTCTTCGTATACGCTGTGAGGATCGGCTGGCGAAATGAAGCTTCGTTAAAATTAATTGGAGGAAAGATATTGTTGAAACGTCTCGCCCGTCTGGATTGTCTCTCAACCTCGCTGGTAGGCTTTGACGAGATTCTGCGTCCGAGTTTTATGCAAAACGAAAGAGGAAAAACTGTCTCACGAGTGAGAGAACTCGCGGATTGACGAGAGGAGCGCGCGAATGCCAGGGACAACCTGCACGACGATCGCAGCCCTAAGTCGCGGAGATCACGCGTGAAATCACGAGCAAGGATCCAGGCTTGTGCCGGTTGATATTTTGATGAACGATACGTCGCACGCGCGCGTCGTCGAATTTTCGAGATTCACGAGTGAACGCTCGAGATAAGCGCAGCCCCGTCGCTTCGTCATCGCGCTTGATCCTCAACGTCGCGCTCGAACTGACACTCGACACCTGCCCGAACGACGACGAAAATCGCGTGAGCGCGATCGGCTTGACAGCCTCTCGCACGTGCGCGCACACCGCTGCGAGCCGAGCTCGCCTGTGCTGCATGCGAGATGCGAGGACGCAAGTCGCGAAGTCGGGGCGTCGACGCGGCCGATCAAGCGATAACGCAACTCGGGATTCACGGCTCTGTTTTTTTTTCCCTCCTCTCGTTCTCTCCTCCTCTTCCCTCCGCGAAACGGCAAGACGTCGATCGGGCTACGTCGAGTTCGTCGCACTTTCTCTCATTTTCTTTCCCCTCCGTCGATCGCCACGATCGGCAACGATCATAGGTACGCCATCGGATTCCCGACGAGACTCTCGAGTCGCCCTCTCGCCTCCGTCTACAATTATGTCTGATACTGTAACATCGGTGCGGCCAGATTCGGGTGGTGGGCTGTGTTCATTCTCAGAGCCGAGATGCTCTTGTTGTACCACTCGTCCTCCGCCGACATTCCTGAAACGGGAAAGAAACACGGGGTTTTTAGACGGACGCGAAATCGCTGGCCAGGCCCGAGTCGAGCGGGCCTGGCGATCTCCCTCCGTTCCATCGATCCTTCGAAATTGCGCGCCTGTTTATCGATAGCAGCGCGGCACGAGACCAAACGTCATTAACGCCAACGTTAATTAGCAGAACAGCCACGCGACGCCGTCAACCCTCCCGCCGAGTTGGACGTCGCGGAGAAGCGGCATTTCTTTTCTATCCCGAAAGAATCCCGGAGCGATTCGATTTAACCGACTTTCCGCGGTGCTTTATCGAGTCTCCGCTAATCGGTCGATTTGCTATCGCATTAAGACGTTAAAGAGAGAGGCGTTAAGTCGTTAAGGTGAGGCGCGGCGAGGCCGCGCGCGCTCGTGCGGCAATCGCTCGCTCGCTCGTTCGCGCCCTGCAACCCCCGACGGGCGAGGCAATTCGCGAATAGTCTTGATTCGATTTAAAAGCGATATTCCATCTCGCGCCGGAAATGGTGTAAGACGGCGCTGGGGCGGAAATGGAGAGAGCGTCTTGGAGGCTGGAGGCGGGAGGACCAGAGCGCGCGCGGAGAGCTCGCTCGCTCTCTCGTGCAACGGGCGTCGGATTCGCGCCATTTCCGCTCCGGATTTTTGCGGAGTCATTCGATAACGTCGGGTCAGCGCCCCGAGGACGGCGCGGAAAGTCGCCGTGAAGACGCTGGACAAGAGAGCGAGGCTTCGGAGAAATTAGTTTACGTCCGTTCCACATCCGCGTGACCTCGCGGGGGGAGGAGTTGGCGTGCGGTGCTCGGAAAGACAACGATCGAGTGGAAAATATATATATATATGTATAACCGAAGACGATTGCGGGACCAATAATTGAACCAGCGAGAACAGAAAGAGGGGACACGTGACGTTTTCGCCGAAATTGAGTTAACAATGGACCCTTGCGCCAAGACCGAAACGTTTAGGAACGCCTTTTAATGGAACTTTACTTTAAAGCGCCTCCTCTTCGGAGCAAAGTAGCACAAAATGAAAAATTCATACTGTGCTTGTAAAATAGTTATTTTTCACAAATATGTGATCACGCCTGAAATCTCTTCCGGTCTGATCGATCCGTTTGTTAATTAACAACGGGAGAGCCCACTTATATCCATCGTATTCTAAACATTACAATTTAGGAAATTGAAACATCTCGCCAGGTGAAGTGTCATAAGTTAAGCAAGTCACATGGATTTTGCGAAATGTTGCAATTTCCTAAATTTTAATGTTTGTTTACGATGTAAGCCAGAGAACATGCATGTCTAAAAGACATCTTTAAGACGTCTATAAGACGTCTTATGTTTAAAAAACGTCTTAAAGATATCTTTTAGACATGCATGTTCTCTGGGAACGTAAATTGACTTCCTTTCGTCTTACTCTTCCGGCAAAATTAGCTACTATTTACTAGCTTGGCGAAACATATATCTTTTAAATTAAATTTTTCATTAAACCAATTGTGACAGTTCAGTATGGAGAGAATCGCCTTTCGGACCAGTGGGACGTTAAAATGTCGCGGCTGTTGAGAATTTAACTCTCAATGTGAGGCGCCGCGAATTCGATCTCCCGCGAAAAAGTGAAATCGGTTGGCCCGCGAGCGCGGGGGTATCAAGGATATTTGTGGGATTAAGGGCATTTGCATAATCCTTGACCCAAATGAGAGCGTAACCGCGCTCACGAGCCATTCACACCGCTGTACTCATTTTACGCACACCCAAAGCGCCTGGCGTTGCATTATTTATGACTCACCCATTGCATCTTGTCGCATGCCGGTGACGGCCGACATATTCGACGCCGAATGCGACATGGAGAACGGCTGGGTCATGCTCGGGTAAGACGTCGTGCCCATCTGAAACAATCGTTCGCCGCGATTAACAGCACGTCGATAACTGCCGATTGGGTCGTAGGGTTCTCCCCCCCCCCTCGCATCCCTGCGCGACCCCTTCTAGAGGCCCTGCGTCCACGATGCCAGAACGTGGTCCGAGTTCTAGTCCCGAGAAATATGTAGCCAATTAACTTGCAGCATTTCCGTGAAAGATGCAGACTGATTGGCCACACACATTTCCCGGGAGTGGAACTTGGACGCGTTTCTTGGATCGTGGACGTCAAGGTGTAATCGGGCAGCGTATCAGCGGCAGGCTGTAAAATCTGCCGCGTTTGAAAAGAGGGGGAAGGAGGAGGGAAAAAAAGATAGACGCGCGGTGTTAATGTCACGTGTAATTAATTTCCGCGAGCGTGAAATGAGCGAACGAGCGAAAATGGATTCCGCGATGTATCAATGAGATTACGGAGTTACCCGCGCGGTTTGAGCGGCCGAGCTGGAACAACGAGAGGAAAGTAATGCGGTAATTAACGTGTATGAAACATAATTATCGGCTAGAAACCGCTCTTACGTATCTCCACACGTCGGCGGTGGCGAACGCGAAATCGAATGCGACGGGTGGTTTCATTATAAAAATTAACCGTGTAATACGTTCGGAACTGATGGAAATTAATAATGCGTCGCGGCATCTATTTCCTGGCCGTAATCAATTTTCCAACGTGTTACGTGATTCTACGGTGATATCACGATTATTAAGTACAATTCCCGACGAGGATGGGAATGAAGGGAACCTCTAAAACCATAAAAACAAACGTGCGCGATCAAATTTACTTCGCCCGGGGCTTCCCGTCTTTTGTTTCGTCCGTTACCGATCATTGTACAGTGATGGACACTGTCGGTCTGTACACAAAAGCCACATAATTTGTATGTTACACAAATGTTTTCACGAATTGACAGTTCTAGGAGCAAAAGGTGCCAAAAGTGCAGAATCACTCCAGGATCCCCTTTAACCCAGAAACTGTCAGTTGACGGAAACATTTGTGTAAAATGCAAATTAAATGGCTTACGTGTACAGATCGAAAGCAGCTTGCTATTCCGGCTAAATTAAAGAACAACGTGGCATCACTGAAACAAAGTTTATAAATCTAATAAGAAATAATAGTAACAGTACATGTAGCTCACTATTATTTCTTATTAGACTTGCAAACTTAGTTTCTGCGATGCCATGTTGTTCTTTAATTTAGCCGGAATAGCAAGCTGCTTTCGATCTGTACACGTAAGCCATTCAATTTGTATATTACACAAATGTTTCCACGAAACAGACGGTTTTAAGTGCAAAAGATGGAAAAGTGTAGAATCATTCCAGCATCCCCTTAACGCCGCTGGCACATGTTAATAGATATTCAACACTCTCAACGCAGGAAAAATGCAAGTAAATATATAGACACTTTACGGCGGAAAAATTTCGTAAACCTCCTTAGACATTCGTGGATCGAGCTTGAGAGCTGAGGGATAACCGATATAAGTCTCTTTTTTTTCGCGGGGAGGGAAAACCGAAACACGCTTGCGAATTATCGGCTCAATTAAAGCGGTAGGCATTCGGTAATCCGGCCGACCCAACTAATCAGCCGAAATGCAATTTAGCTATATCGACCGATAGCGATGCGCCGGACGTACGCTCAGGTGCACTCCAATTTAATACCTCGGTTAAAATCATTAACGAGAAACGCATCGAATTCATTCCCGATATGTGGAGCCTTCGAAACGAATCTGCGATCGCACCGAAATCTTTTAATTTCCGGGCCTCGCTGCGCCCGCGCGCTACTGTCTAAACGCGACGCGTTGATCGCGAGCCGCCCCCTCTCGAGAAAAACGTTCGTCAGTTTATCGCCATTACGTCACTTCTCGAATAATAATGCACAGTGAAATGTAACATCAAGAATTACTTGTTCAAAGACACGCACGAAATTCGAACGAGATAGATTTGTAACAATTGTGTGTTCCGAGCTTGTAAAAATTGTTACTTTCCCACGTGTACGTTTGCACGAAAATCCACGTATTCCCACAGTAAGTAGGATGTACGTTCCTAGGGTGACAATTGTAATTCTTGTTTATATTATTTACTTGCCATTATCGGAGACGTGTCTTCGCGCTGAGTGCATTGGTGAGCGTGCAAAGCGGCGGGTATCGATAATAATGAAATTTCGGAAGCGTCCTGCGCGTCGTAAGGGAGCCTCACCTGGGGATAACGATTTATGCCATTTATGCTGTTGTGAGGATGGGGGTAGGGTTGATAACCTCTGCTAGCACCAGGATAGATATTCCTCATCATGGCACCTTGGCAGGCGGGAATTGGTGTCAGAGCTTTCTGCAGCTGCTTCTCCTGCTTCCGGTATTTCGCTCTTCTGTTCTGGAACCAAACCTACGGGGAGAGAGAGAGGGGCGAAATGACGTAAACGCACGGATGCGATGCGATATAAGTAATAATTAATAATTATCTTCATCCCCGGGCAACGTACCGCGTCGTTTGTGTGTGTAACAGCGCAAGCGGGGCTCGCGTCATTTTTGCTTCGATCACTGGACATGATTCTAGCCGAATATTAATTACTATTCCAATTAAATATATTAGTATCTGGTGGATTGCAATTTCGTGTTGTACGAACAATCGGCGAGAGAGAATAGTTACACTTTTATTCTTGTCGCAATGTAGATTTTATCCGTTGCGTCTATCAAAGCGACCTTCGAAATGGTTGGAAACTGTGCATTCATTTTTCTAGCACCGAATGTAAATCGTTCGGAATCAAAGTAAACAGAAGCGTGTCGAGATTTGATTTTGCGCTTGTGAAATTTACATTTCTTTATCCCTGGAACGTTTGAAGCGTGCTCTCTGTTCTCCTTAAAAACGTCATTGCACGTCCACGCGAAACGCATTAATCCGTAAAACTTTTGGACACGCAGGAAACGCTCGTACAAAAGTAATTGTTTTACGGCCGCAGCAAAATGGCGACGAAGGAGCTAATAAAATGGTGTACAAACGCACGAAGGTATTTGAGAGCATCGAGTTAACGGTCCTCGTCGATCAAAGGAGGGACACAAACCTCTTGGGCCGAAAAGCATCCTCTTTTTTTTCCTTTACTCAAACGGGATCCTAAGTTTACCCCCCTCCCCCCGGCCTCAGCCCGGCAACCCAAGGGCGGTTTACCTATCGCCATTTTGCATCGGGCAATTTCCATTGTTTCGCGGGATTAGTAAACCCATATTGGGGCTTGCCTGAGCCGCCACCGGCGACTCACCCCGGCATCCACACCGGCGCGCGTTTCCGCACCCTCGCCCCCTCGCTCCCCCACCCCTTATCCGTTCTCCTCTCTTCCTCCCGTAACCCCCCGACAATCTCCACTCTCGCGCCCCGCCCTGCCGACCGACCCCTCTTTCCAGCGCCCCCTCCCCTCCCCCCCCCTCCCCCAGAAAGAGAAAAGCCTGCGGCTTCTCGTCCCGGGTCGGGGTTGGGTTGTTTCCACCCTCACCGGTGACGTCACCTGCGCCACCCGATTGGCCGATGCCGCTGCGGTGACGTCACATCGGGCTCGCTCATTGGCCGACACGTTTTATCGACATTTCTACTGTACACCCTCTCTCATCGCCGCAGAAGTGGGTGACACGAACCGGGGTGGCTCGAACGAGTTCTCTCTCTCTCTCTCTTGCACGCGCGCGCGCACGCTGTCTGTATCTTTCTGGTTCGCCCTCTTCTCGGCCTATCACTCTTTGTGTGGAAGCATGGCGCTTCCGAAGAGTACCTCGTGAAATATCCACAGCGATGTTCTCGTATCAAAAACCGGGAACTAGGGGGGAAAAAAATTCACTACGTATCTATAGAGAAGAAACGAATTTTCATTACAAGGCCGCAAACGATCATCTTGCTTCGTTTATTGTGTACCGAAGTCGACAATTTGGCACATTTTTTATTATTTTCAATCTTTCCGCCGCTTACTTAATTAATAACGTACCGTAAACTTCGCCAGTTCTCTCTCTCTCTCTCTTTCTCTCTCTCTCCCGCTATCTGGAGACAAATACATTTCTAATCGGCTTAATTAAAAATCCCCTTTGTGTATACATGTTTAATTATTTTAAACAGCCTGCCGTACGTTTCATGTCAATCGACGTGGACTTTATTTCAACTCGTAACACAGAAAGGAATTTTGATCATTTTAATCAAACACCCCAGCTAATTATAAAGTGATCCTTATGCTAATTTATTAATTAGCCCAACGTCAGATGGCGTCAGATAAAGGTCGTCACCTACGTCAGGATCTATCTCGTGTCAACCCACGTCGAAGAGATCAACGCCCACACAAGAAATTAATAGTTCATCAGCGGTGGGATTATTTCCATCAATGATCGCGTACATTACAGCGCATTATCGCGTCTCTCGACGTCACAATCAGTCCTTTTTGCAAATGTTATTCTGCGAATTTCGCCACAGAACGCAAGGAAAGCACCTAATTTGGCAGCGAGATCGCTCACTCTACGCGAGACACATTTTAATACGGTGCGCCGCGATAGAAAAACTAATCTTTGCTCCATTAAATTTGCTCGACCGTTAGACGAATGGCAAATAGGTGTGTACAGGTATGGCACTGAGAGCCGAATAAGTTAGGCAAGTAATTTCGCGCAGTTACAATTGAATTTTATTTAGATTGTCTTCTTGCCATTGAGCTGGATGGAATCGCAAGTCGCGGGATCGGCGAGCTGGCTTTGACATTAAATGTTACGATAAAATATAGAGCGGTCGTTTCCAGGCGTATACGCAATTTCACGATTTTATTATTTAATCGAGTATACGAAGCAACGAAGGGTTTCGCTCGCTTTTGCCTTTTATCAAAGCTTCCGAATATGGCAATTGATTTTGCGTCAAGTTAGACGCACCCGATTATCGCGAGAAGGATTCGTTCAACGCGAGATAAGAACGACACGGTACATACAACAATTTTCACGAACGATCGTCAATCTTTCGTAGAAGATTGCGAATAAAGTTTCACAGTAGAAACATCCAGACACGCGCCGCGCGGCGTAATGGAGTCTTATTTAGATTAAGTTCTTGCCGCGAAATTGGCTGGAATCCGGGATTACTTAGCCGAGAGAGAGAGAGAGAGAGAGAGAGAGAGAGAGAGAGAGAGAGAGAGAGAGAGAGAGAGAGAGGGGGGAGAAAACCTGGCTCGGATATGAAATATTATAGAGAATCGGGACGATTATCGAAACGCGATGATAATCGGAATATTAATTCTGAAGTTGAATTCGAGATCCACGTCGAAGGGGATCGCTGGGAGCTCAGTGGCCGTGGATTACAGCGGAATTATAGGCATTACCGAGTTTGATACTTCTTTTTAACGGCGTTACATAAATTTGCAAGTAAAGCGAAAGAAATATTCGCGGCGAAAACGGGGCTGGGACGGGAGGGCTGGGGGGGGGAGGGGCGCATGCAGTTTCGAAGGTGGTGGGACATTTGAAGACTCTTAACAAAGGGCTTGATTAACATTTTCATATGACGAGCGTGCATCGTTTTAACTCACATGTATGGAAATCGCGGTACGTGCGAGGCAAGTCGCATAATCAATCTCAATCCGCATTGGAATTCACGCCGCGGGACGATTTGCAATTGCATAAAACACGCTCGGCTTTCGAATAATCTGGCATTACCTCCGCCCGTGTATACCAACCGAGGCTGCCAGCTCTAAATATGCATGTATATAGGAAATATAGTATCGATACGAAATAACATACGTGATGCTTTTTTAAGGGCGTCGAGCACCCATATTCCGCAGAGACGAAGATAATAGTTACGTAAATACGGCGTAAAATAATTTCGTCGCTACAAGAGGCCAATAAATATTTCCGTATTTTTCGCGCAATTAAATGATGTGCTTTTCGAAATTATTTTTGAATTATTATATTATAAATTTTTAGTAAACAGAGTGTTAGATTTTGTTGAATGTAGCTCGATCGATTGTCACTTCGATTGCCATTAGTATTTGCGCGGGGACAGTTTTCGGAAAATTCGCGATAAGAACTCCATTTCCCCGCGCGTAATTCTCGCCGGGAAATTTTTCGTGTACGCGCCTGTATTTCCTGCCGTGCGTATGCAAATGACATTGTCTACGCTTCGTTTAGCCCGATACCGCGCGTTCCCCTAAAATCTAAAACGAAGCGCATCTTCGCTATCGAGAATACGGCTGCGAATGGTCGTATAAATATGTATACGCGCGTGCAGGGCGTTCGGGAATTGGCGAAAACACGACGGACGGATTGAAATTTGCAGTTATCGCGAGTGCAAAAAGGACGGAAGCCTGGACAATCCTTTGGTCGCGACGACACGGCTGTAAGCGCCCTCGAAAATAGATAGGCTCTCGCTTAAATCAAGATTCAGGGAAATAAGAAAGAGATAACGGCACACACGATATTCGGTCCCTCAAAGTGGACTTTTCTTTAACGACGATTTATCCCAGGCCTCACTTGTCGCTACGTCTCGTTACGTACTTCGGTACCGAAAATGTTCGTCTCCAGATACTCGAAACTTTAGACGGTTCGCCATCCGCCCACCGCCACAAACGCCCCGTACATACCGTACGCATTTACGGGGCGGGTAGAACAGGTTGCCCGAAGAGATCCGGTAAAAGGGCGATTCCTTTTATTTGCTTCTTCCCTGGAAGAGCTTTTCGAGAACATACTTGCGCGCGCGAGCGAGCGCGCCCGCGTCCCTTAAGGCGCGCACTCTGCAAGAACTGGAAAGCTAAGAGTTCGTAATTCAATAACCGCGCTCTCTTCTCCTCCCGCCACGTTCGCTCATAGAGAAAGATAGACCGGATAGGGAGAAAGAGGACGGGGGGGTGGAGCGAGATGGCTGTCCCACGGGGGCGCGCGGCTCAAAATGTCTGCTACTTTGAGGACCGCGACCGAGAAAACTATCCTCCCGTATGCCTGAGAGAATACTGCACTCTGATAGCTAACCCACATACTAACCCGGGAAAATGGATACATTCCCGGGTAATGGCTTTTTCGCCGAAAAAGATGAGGCGAGCGTAATATTTGTGTAATATGAGGACGTAATACTCGCGCCGTTCATTTCGGGAGCTGTGGACGCTGTTACCGTGCACGACGACAATCGAATACGTGGTTACGCAATCCAGGATTGACAATGAGATCTATTTAGGGCTGCAGTTTCTCTGGAAAGGATTATAAATAATATTCTATTCGCGCATTATGCCAATAGAATTGCGATCTGTCTTTATCAGCATGCGGAATCATTAGGATATTGTACATTAAATCGTGCAATGCGGAAACGAGCTTTCTGAATTGCACAGTTGTGTATGAAGAGACGAAATATCGCGCATCTTTTAATTAAGAAAACTTTGATATTTTCATATGTCGTTATATCAATTTATTATAGGATATTGTACGTTAAATCGTACAATACAAACTTTCTGAAAGTCCCAATTAATTTCGTATTGCACAGTTGTGTATGAAAAGACGGAATATTGAGCATCTTTTAATTAAGAAATATTTTTATATGTCGTTATATCAATTTATTATAGCATATTGTACATTAAATCGCGCAATACGGAAACGAACTTTCTGAAAATCCCAATTAATTTCGTATTGCACAGTTGTGTATGAAGAGACGAAATGTCGAGCATCTTTTAATTAAGAAAACTTTGATATTTTCATATGTCGTTGTATCAATTTATTAAGACTTCCATTGCTTTCGTCAAACTGAGGGATTTGATTCAGAGCCCGGGAATTTGACTCATTTGATTGCCTCGTATCGAAATCAGGATAATGAGAGAGATAACTCCATGCATTAATAAGCTCAGCGATAATTGAATACCCCGAAGTGATTAATAACTTGTATTCAATCGCAAGCTGCTTGCGCGGAGAGCAAGGCCGAGGAGCGCGGTTATTCGCCAGCTATTTTTGCTACTCCCAGAAATTTCCTTGTTTCCTGTCAAATAGGAAGCCGATTTTCCCGTAAAACGACCGGCAGGTAGGCTTCGATCGGAAGTCGAATCGAAGTAAAAAGGTCGAATGAAAACTCGGCTAACTCAATATCGCGGAGCTCGGAGCTTCTCCTTTCTTTTTCCCCGGCGTAATGGGATTTCTTGTGCGGTGATTCGAGAATTATTCTCTTACCATCGGGTGTTACCCGATTTTTTACTATTATTATCATTACCGTCGCAAATACTTTACGCGATCCCACCGCGTGCATTATCAACGACGGCCTCGATGAGGAACGGGGCACGTCGCGCCGTTTTTTCAATATGCATAGTTAACACTTGTGCCGCTGCTCGAACGCTTCAATTAAAAATTCTCCCGAGGTCAATCTACATAAGGGAATAAGCGTGAAACGAGTTTCTCCGACACCTGCTTAGAAGAAATTGGGAAGAAACAATTGAACGAAATCGCGCAGCTGCTCCATTTTCATTCCGCAATTGTCAAGCAATCGTGGAAAACATTCCGTCCCGACCGAGTTTTGCTTTACCTCCTCCTATTAAATTTATTTGCATGCCTGTGTGTACACGGAGCAGCGCATTACATCTTCCTACCAAGTTTCCTGCAAACCTCACTCGAAATGACATAAATGGACGGAAACGATCCCGCGCAAGGTGTACCATGTTTCGCCTGGAAAACGCTCATTCAACGTGCACTAATACGCGTTTGGCGCGTTTAGAGAAATTGCAAATCGCGCGGGGAGCAAATTTGCGTTACCATCAGGGACCGATCCGTATAGAAACTTGGGCTGCAACTCTTCGTCGTCTACTTTTAAGAATGGGATCGCTCAAAGTCGCACAATCGTCTAAAGTTGTGCGCAATGTGGGGAATAATTTATATGTTATCGCGGTCCGTAATTCGAGAAGAACCGACTGTTGTGTCGCGCCCCGAAAACGCTCGCGCGTCATTCAAGACTCTACACCACGTATCCCGCGAAAGAAGTGACGAGCAACGCGGGGTCTCGGGACGCGGGATCAATGTATTTTTTAGCGAGCCCCGCCAATCAGGCGACATCGCTGGATGCAGGAGAGAGAGTCGTCCCTTTAAAAGCTACCGCGCTAGTCACGGCATTCTGTTTCCTCAAAGATAGCGACACGGGCCGCGGAGGCGGCGAGGACGAGAGAGAAATAGACGGCGAACGAGGGTGGCAAAGTTGAGATGAGTTGGGCGCGCAGGGGGTTGGGTGACGCTGTACCGGAGGCTGCCATTATATCTGAGCCGCCATTTTAAATTGAATTTTCTCCACCCTAGATAGATCTGAAACGTCTCAGGCTTGCCGGGCTTGCTATTCCTTCCACTACGAGACGAGCGACGACGAGGGCGAAATGGCGCCGAGACGCGGGGGTAGGAGAGCGACGGGGGGGACGGGGGGGTGCGGGGAGGCGGAGGCGAGGGGTTTCTGGAAAGAACACCGGAGGAACGAGAGAGGCGAGGGCCCCCTTTTTCTTCCACGCGCTCGCCGTCCTGCCTTTTTTCCTCCCACTGAGAACCCCTGTCTCGCGATGGATACCCTCGCTAAAACCCTAAACCGGCCCTTCGATTCCTCCAGGGGACGACGAAATTTTCGCTCGCCCTCCGCGCGCAGGCGGGAGCCTCCGAATTTCGCGCGGGGCGGCGCGTCGGTTACTTTGTATTGCGGTTCATCGATATTACTTCGTATCGAAATTGACGTTGTCTCGAATTGGATTACAATCGGGCGCCATTTCGCGATAACCGATCGCTATTTTGGGGAATTTTTCCAACTCCGCGCGGCGCGCAGGGCTAATTAAGACCGAGGAGCTAATTTCGCTCTTTCGCGTTATAGGCGGAGCGATCGACCGATTCGCAATCCATTTTAAATACCATTTTAGGCACTTAGCGCGCCGATAGTTATTAACATAATCATTTACAAAACGCGCTTACCATTTATATAATTAAGCGAGGTTTTATACTAGATATTTATAGCTCGCGGAATATCGTGAATTTCAGTAAACGCGACGCGAGCGGACTGGACGGCGAACGTTAATTTACCGCGGGATAAGAAACCGGCACTTTTCGGCGGCGTAAAACCACCGAGGGAGAAAGAGAGAAACCTCACCGCGCTTGGAGGCTGCCGTTCGTCGAAAGTAGTCGAAACGCGCGCAAATCCGTGATGACGCGAGCGTTAATTACGGGGCGCGCTTTGCAGGTTACAGATAATTGGCCGATTCTGGGGCAGCCGCGCGCCGGAAAACCAGCGACTGGAAATGACATTTAAAACTGCGAAATCCATCCCCTTCCTCCCCCCTCTCTCTCTCTCTCTCTCACTCTCTTTCTCGCGTTTGAGGTCGAAACGAGCACAGGACCATCCGACGCGCGGGCTGCGCGGCTCCTCGCGGGCGGCACGGCCCTCGGTGGCGGACACTTTGTGCATCGGTTATAACCGGCGAGCGACGAGCGCAAACCGCGTTTTACTTGGCATCGCAGTTTAACAGGGTTAAGTCGCGGCGGTTCCCGGGCTTTTAACTCAAACAACACCCCGCTGCATTATATATCAAAAGAGCGCAACGCACCGGCGACTGTTTTAATATGTACCGCTCGGCTCGGAATTCGGGGCCCCGGTGTGTACGCGAACCAGTCCCCGACATGGACTCTCTCTCTCTCTCTCTCTCCTCTCTCTCCTCTCTCTCTTCCGCATCCTATCCACTCCGCACAGCCTCCCCGTCGACCCCTTTCTACCTCATTACCAAATCCTCCGCCCTTAATGTCATCACAAACCGCACCACTGTCGTAGAATTTCGCGTTTTCCATGTCGAAGAAATTAAAAATTTGAATGCCATTATTCGCCGCGACACGCAACCCTTTCTCTTCGTATAAAAATATACAATATGCATGTATCTGGAAGTGCCGAGTGTGTCTCGTGTCTCTGGCGAAGCCGGGAATTTTATCGTTCGGTTTGCATGGATTCTTCGGGATACACTCGAGAAGTACGTTGAAAAACCTCTCCATCCCCTCTGATCGATTCCACGACCCTCAAAGAATATAGGGTGTCTTGGGCCGACATTTGCGCCCGTAATTTCATTTCGTCGCCCCACATGCGTCTTTGATTCAATTACGCAGTGAGTCACAGTCAAAAAGATAGGCAGGAGATAAGTATGTCTATAAATTTATCAGCCTCGTCCGACAAAGCTCAATTCTCGCGGCGACATTGGAAAAAGTCTGTTCCTAACACGAGCGTTATATAACAAATGTAGTAACCAACGAAATCGATCGCGGCTTATCTATTAATTAAATCCACCTGGACCTATTCGGATCGGTTGTCTGTCAAAAACCCGACGCCAGATTTAGAACTTTTCCACCAGATACCCCGAAACAGCGTTGTTCGTTGCGAATTGAATCACACGGGGGATGGTTTTTCGGAGCTCCAGAAGGGAAGAACGGTTTGTTTTTCTCGTAGCGGGGCGAGGAGCAGCGCACTCACCTGAATTCTGGCCTCGTTCAATTTGGTAGTCCTCGCCAATTCCTCCCTGCAGTATATGTCCGGATAATGGGATTTTGCAAACGCCGATTCCAATTCTGCCAGCTGCTCCTGCGAAACAATTGGAAAGCCGTGGTAAAGGCCGATTTCAGCTATTTGGCAGGAAATTTGGACGCGGTACGAAAGATTGGAGGTAATGAAAATGCCGTTATCGATCGAAGGGCTCGGCGTTTTCCGGAGGAACGCACGCGTTTCTGAGATGTCTCGCCGGGACGAAAGAAACGGAGACGCCAGAAGAGACGTCTTGGATTACGCGCAAGAATAATTTGAGACTTAGAGGAGTAAGAGGCCCGTTTTTCTTGATACCAACCTGAGTGAAGGTAGTCCTGTGTCGCCGTCGGGCGGGGGTTGGACAGCTAGCTGTGGTAGGTGTGTGACCAATGTGAGGACTGGAGGCGCAGGGGTCAGGCTTTAACTTCTTAAAAGCGCCTTCGGCTCCTGGGGAAACGGTAAAGCGACTTTAACACTTTCGCGAAACCAGCGAGCAGGCCTGTCGTCCAATTGTCTCTTGAAGGGGCTATTTCTTCAAGATGAAACGTACGAAAGAAAAAGAGATGAAATTCGCGGCGCTCGCGTAGTTGCTTTATGTTAAACCGCGGTAATGTCCGTGTAGATGACGTCAGATAAATTTCAACTTCATTAACATTGAATTGCGCAATTGTATTTCGCGTGAGTGTGTAATTACTTCGCGCATTTCACGAATTACATTATCCGCCGATTGCGCTCGAAATTATTTTAATGGCGTATTAGTGGCGGGTCAAATAATGTATTGAGTAGCAAAATTGCATGTCGATTAGATACCGTAATAACAACGTGTTAAGTTGTCTGTATGTACACGTAATTTCATTTGAATTGTAAAAATAGCTTCTCTAGATAATCCATCCGTGCGTAATGCGAAAAACGATCGCCCCGTCCTGAAATGACGCGGCCTACATTCTCCCTCCCTTGGGCAATTGCGATTGTGCCGCCCATCGAAATAAGAGGAATCGCCGAAGAGCCCGCAATTTCGTAAGCAAACTCGGCATAATTCCGCGATCATCCACTCCGACGAGAAGTTGCGAAAGCGCAGTGCTACCCGAATACGGGAGAGAATTCTTTTTTCCACGGCCAAACCGAGTTACCCGACATTTTCCCAGGCCCCAACGTAATAAACAAACTCCGTTAACGACGTCCGGGCGTAAACGCTTTTCACGCGTGGGAGAGAGAGTCGGCGGATCTCGCTCTCCGCGGCTCTCCCGTGCGTATTGTCCGCCCCGTAAAGACGACGGAGTCGGGAGCGGCGTCGGAACGGCCGAAACTCGATTTCCCGTATCGCCTTTCATCGCCGGCAAAATTCGATATTCGACGGAAGGCGCGATCCGCCGAACTTTCGACCTCCGACGCGAGAACTCCGTGGCCGCCATCGCCGTCGCCGTTGCCGTTGCCGTCGCCGTCGCCGTCGTCGTCGTCTTCGTCACCCGCGCGGCGCGGCGCGGCGTCGCGGCGCCGGCTTTATGAACGAACGTAGATACCAACCAGGTCGCACCGACCCGGGGTAAGCGTGGCGAGCGAAGTCCCTCGCACTATGCTAACTTGGTTAGGGCGTTAATGACCTAATCATGTTACATGCTGATTCAATGTTCAAGGATGAATGCTGTCCACTTTACATACCTTGCCCGGTTACCCGATGAACGGGGAAACTCGGTCAAGTTCAGCGAAGAAGGCGAAGGGCCCCGTGCGACCCGCTTCTTCGGCTAACCCCCTTTCCCTTCCCGCGTACTTTGCGACATTGCGCACGCCGTTTTTCCCTGTCGTTTGTAACTTGTCCTCTTTTTAACCGGGGATTCCTCTGAGGCATTTCATTTCCGACAGCGTCTTCTCGAGTATTGATTTCATTAATACAACTTCGCGAACGTGTCGAATGTTCGGTGCACTTCTCGCAATGTAGATAAAAAATACGTACTACGGGGGTAATTTTCGGACCTGTTCGGTATATATTCGACATACAAATGCAAGGAAACAAAGGAAAGTAAGAATTAAAAAAAAGGTGAGGCCGAGAGAAGAACTCTACAAAGTATTCGATGATACATAACACGTAATTAAATTCTGAAAGTTGTGATAACGCGAATTGGAATTACTTTGTTCCATTAAAATTATATCCCGTTTTAACGCAATTAAAAGCTCATCCTAATTTTTTCGCGCGGGTACAGATTGAAACGAGATTTTCATAAATGATACGAAATAAAATTAATGTCTCATAAAAGGTATTGGCAAAAAAGTATTTTTCGCGATCTTTATGATGTCGAAATTAATTTTTCCCATTAATCCACGGTGTGTGACAATGGGGTGGTGCACCATTAGAGCAATATATATGTCTCCGGCAATATAATATAAAATACTGTAACAAATAATATATTTTAAAAAATGTAAACTATCGTTTCGAACATTCTTCAACTATTATCGACGCGGCCTTAAAAATATTGATTTTATTTATTTAATATAAAAAAATAAAATAGTTAATTATTGGACCGTAAATTTAGATTCGTGAAATATATTTGCGTATTGCTGTTTCAATATATCCGGGATATGAATCCCGTTTTTATGCAATTACGGAGTTTTCGCGATTGCAGAAAATAGGCAATTTACGGTTGTCAGTTTTGCATCTTTGACGTAGAAATCTGCTCGAAAATTATATTCTTGCAAACTACATTTATTAAAACGAGCTATAAAAGCAAAATGTAAACGTGTAATGTAAATGACGTTTATCAAAAGAACAATAACAAGATATTATTACAATCACGGGATTACTGTTAAAAAACATAATAATTAACTCAGGTCGTTATTATATTAATATTGAATAAAACATAATTGGAAACGTGATATGAAAATAGTTTTCTGTACATGCAAATGAAATCTTTTTTCATTTATTTTATGTATAAAATGTTTTTATGTATCCGCAAGAAATTTAGCAAAAAGAATCTCTTTACATCTGCTCTCAGCAGTTCATTAATGTTATTAATACTTTACACGAATGATAAATGTTGCTAGATGCTACATAAAAATGTATTCTCGGTAAAAGTAAGAATTTTTACAGAATAGACTTTGTAATCCTTTTCAGGTTTAGAACAGAGAAGCTTAAGTAACGGTATCGTCCTTTAAGGTTACAAATTCTAATTTTCCCAAACCCTAATAAAATTTACAAGCAGTTGAGAAAATAATTACAAATTTTAATTATCAAGAATACGGGATATTTTAGTATCGTTTAGCAGCCCAATTTTTCACGTCCAGAATAATTTGAAATACCTTCTCTTTCTAAATTAAATGAAGAATTCGTAGTTAAAGAACAGCTCGGCATGTCTCGGGAACTGCATCACGATTTCTCACGACGTAAACAGAGTCGCGATCGGGAGGCAAAGAGCAGAGTAGAGACAATAAAATGTCAGCGAAACGGCACGAATCGTCCAGCCGTTCGCAGCCGAGTTAACCCTTTGTTAAGAGCGAAGTTACAAGCTGTTCGCCGACAATCTCGACGAGCGGCACTCGAGAGAGAGAGGCACCCGTCGAAAAAGGAGCGCGGTGCGAGGGTGCATTGTGGACCCGGCGCTGCGCGGCGCCGCGAACATCTGCCCCCGCAGATTTCGGAGACGGTAAGGGGGTCGAGGGTAATTAGCGGTGATTTTAACGCGGTGAGATCTGACACGCGCGACGAACGACACGTTTTACAGGATTACTGGTAATGCGGACCTCGGTAGCCTCTCTCCGACCTACAGCTGCCGTCCGTCGGCATCTGCTGTCACATTAGGACGCATTATCGGCCAATAGTGATACGCGCGTTTCCGAAATTTATTCGATGCACACGCGTATATTGATCTCATAATTTGATACGACACGTGCGCGCGTGCGCGCAACACACGCGCACATCGCGCCGATTTGTTTCCTTCCGCGACGGAAGATAATTCGGATTCGTATCAGTGACATTGAGAAACGCTCATCCTGTGCGAATCTACTTGAGAACAACTTAGTTTCCGCATATATTATTCGCAAATGTATAGAGGAAAGTCCCCTATTTTGGGATAGGTTTCTAATACGAGATAGCGGAGTTTCTGCTAAATTAGTAGGTATCATCTGTTTGTTCCGCCATGAATTTATTGGCCTTGGAGTGAGATCTATTTAGTGGTAAATTGGTCGTTAGATCGTGTAATCGTCGCGAAGAAAGATTTGTCATTGAATTTGGACGTTGAAAACCTGCTATCTCATAGTAGAATCCTATCTCCTAATACAGAACTTTCCTCTATACATTAAGAGCTGACATTTGCGAGCAATCCGGTGAACGGGATGCACGAGCCAACAATTACTATTGAAAATATGTAGAAAGGAGAGAGTGCCAATGTGAGCCACAAATTGACCGGAACTCGGTTCTCACAATTTATAATCAAAATTTCTCTTTAATAGCATAAACGTTTCGACCCTTCTTCGGGTCTTTCTCAGTAAAAACTACAATGAGATCGTCGAAAGTAATACAAGGTGAGAATACAGTACAACTTATAATACAGATTGGTTCAACAATTAACTGTTGATTGGTGTAACGCTTACTCGACAGAGATACGTAGCTCAAAGTCACTGGTAAGACAATATCCTAGTCCGATGTGTGATTAAAATATTTAATAAAAAGATATTAAAAGGTGACAGAAAACTGCAGCAATCTTCTTCGAAATATTTAAAGTTACGCTTTTAAAATGCCCGTAAACTTCATATTGCACGTGCGATTAAATTTTCAATGTATAAAAATATTCTCGCGCACACAGAGTGGTCTTGCAATTAACGCGTGGAAAAAATGGCGAGATATCAGAAGTTATTTCGAGTTATGAACGAGCGGGAACTTCTTTTCGTGAGAAGTTCTCTGAGCTTCAAAAGGGGTGAGGGCGGAGGGGGGGCAAATAAATAAAGAAACTTCACTCTTCATTTAATTCCAAGTACTTTGAAACAGTTTTAATTTCAAATTTAGTTATCAAGACATTAAAGTTTAAAAGTCGAAAAATAGCTGTAAATGATAACTTTCGCCGCCACCCTCCTAAGAATTTTTATCAGATTTGAAAATTTTTGTCCTGCTACGGCTATTAAAGATTACAGGTCGCGGTGCTATCAGGTGACGCGCGTGAAGAGATCGAACGTGCAACACGAATCCACTTCTCCCCAAGTTGCAGTTGCAATTGCAGGCCAACTGTGTTACGGGTCACTCGACAGGAAGCGAGCACTCCTGTTTTAAGGAGGACACGGGAAACGCGCGCCAGAAGACCGTCGCTCGAGTACTTTTAATACCCGGGAGAACGCGCGAGGGGGTTAACGACATTAATTTTTCCCTCCACCGCCGCCCCGTCCTCGTTTTATTCCGCTACCTCTTTTTCCTCTCGTCGCGAAGCGGCTGTCGGATTTTCATTTGCATGAGAATCCCGCGGTAGTCTCATTTCGTTTCCGGGAACCCTGACCTTGAAGGGTGCGACCGAGCGTAGGATATCGCCGTTTGCGGATCGGGATACCGCGGCGCGAAATTCATTTTCGGATATAATGAGGCCGAAAAAAACTTTAACGACCGCCGCCGCGACCGACCTGTTGAACTCCGTATTTATCGAATGCCGCATCCTTTGCATACAGAAATGAGAATGAGCGCATTAGAAATTTATTGCAGAGCGTATAGGAAGTACATATTTCAAGAATGATTATAAATGACACAATTTAATCGGCAACTCAGATACCCGGTGAAAGTGTAACGGTCTTGTGGAAAATGCGTAATCTCTTAAAAAAAATTTAAGTTCATTTCGGGTCGCGTTTCACAAATTAACAAGAGATGCCTAATACCAAAGTGATTCCAATTAATTAAAATCGTGAGTGACTCACGGTTACGGTACAGGGGATTTGTTTCGAGCTGACGCGATATAATTCTGCTTCGCATTTAACAAGTGCACGTCGACATGTCAGGCGTATCGAGGTGCGCGCGTTATGAAATATGAGTGTCACGACGCGGCAGAAGTGAGAGGAAACCGGAGACCAGCCCTTTCATTCGATCCCGCGACGGAGTCTTTCGAATCATCGAAACCGGGCGCGAGGCTCGTCACGCGTTCAAGCTACATCCGACGCTTCGTGCCCACCCCATTAGCGGCACCCTTGGTGCTAAGCTCCCTTAAGCCCTACTAGCACATAATAATAGTCCATAGAACAGGTACCACCATATGTCTGGTCCACCCGACCCATTGTCAACACTTCGCGCTGGTCGTGTTGCACTGCGAGCGCGTGCTCGAGGCTCAACAAGCGGAAAATACGTCTATCTCGAGATGACACGATGTCCATTTGTCTCCTAACGATAATGCAACAGCCGCGATACCTCGAAAGACGCGCGTCGAGCTACGTGACTCCAGATTCATTGTTTTCTTTCGTGGAACATCGTCATTTGCACGTTGAAATAATTTACTTTTTTTAATTATAAAACGTTATTGACGATTACCATCGGTAAAACTCCATACGCTGCTTGAGCATAGCTTCAATACATTTTTGATAACGCAACAAACTTGTTTGCAGGCTAAACACAAGAGGAACAACAGTTATTCCAATAAATAATGGTATGAAATATAAAAAGAAGTTATTACAGTGTAGTCTAGCGGTGGAAGAGAGGCCGCTGAGCGTTAACATTTGATCATTTCCGGGTTAAAGCGTAAGTGCGCTTGGTTGAAACTATAAACTTATTGTTTGCCGATTTACTTCTGCGCTTAAGTAACAAGATGCAAGAGATATATGAGCTACTTCCGCGATTCTCGGCAAAATAATGTGCGATACTCACCGACGGTGGTCGTGGCCCCGACGCTGCTTCTTCCGGGCGTCGCGGCGGGCGTCGGCGGGCTCGCCTCGAGACCCTGATGCACCCCGTACAGGCCGAAGTCCTGCTCATTCGAGCTGGCGCTACTGCACTTTCTCTTCTCCTGATTGTGATTCAAGTGGAAGCTGTCGTTCTCGACCAGGCCGACGCCGAGCAAACCCAGATTCGGCCTGAGCTCGTCCATCAGCTTGTTCTGGCCGCAATTGGCAGCAGCCGCCGCGGAGAAGTTGAGCTGGCGGCTGAAGATCGCCGGGAATATGTTGAACTGCTGGTGGTCGAGGCTGAGGGCGGTCGTCGGCAGGGACGAGCCACCGCCGCCGCCGCCGCCGCCGCCACCGCCGACGGAGGTACCGACGGAACCGACGCCGCCCGCACCGGGACCCCCGGTACCTCCGGACAGATCGTTAGCCAGGGTGATGCCGGGGTGACCTGGTCGAGGTAGCGCGTAGCTGCGAGCACCTGTGCGAGCACTCGGCCGCCTACGAAGACATCGTCCGACGCGAGTCTGCGATGAGGGCGCGCCGCGACCGCCCTGCGGATACGCACTGTGTTATCCTCCCCCGAGCCACCGGCGCACCGAGGAAGCGTCGGGAAAGCCTCGGCGGTTTGTCCTACAAGTTCGTTATCCTCCGCGGCGACGGTGACTTTAACGAAGGGCTGGGCCGCGAGTCGCGAAAAAGATCTCTTACCGTTCACCCCTCGTGTTCGCCAAAACTGTTCGTTCTTCGGTTCGGTTAGAGCGACCCGTTGGAAGGGATTTATCTCGTTTGCGCTGTTATACGCTTACGAACAGTCCGGTTGCGCGGATCTAGATACCTCCCTCTTGTTGAACATTCTTCTCGAAACACTTGTGCGTCGCGCTCCTCCGATATCACTGTCGTTGAAAGTATCTGACTCGCGCGATACTTCGTGAACGTTATCGTGTAATTGGTATCGAAGCAACGTTCATTTATCGGCTAGTTTGAAGGATTAGATTCAAAGACTTACGAAAAATATTGCTTATCGATTTAGCGTTCGCGTTTCAACTGCTGGCCCAGCTCCAGTGGTCTTCGATTATCAGAAATATATGCGTCTCGGTGATTTAATAATCAATGTTAAACAAACTCGGACACGATTAATCTTTGTAAAAATTTCCAGGCAGCAATGGATTCTCACAACAGTTATTCTTATCTGCTAGTAACAACTTAGTCCATATCCAACTGGCGGTCCATTTCGCGTATAACAGAATGGACATCTACGTCGGAGATTATTTTACTAAGAGGGAATAAGTTAGTCCGAATGTCCTTCAACTATGCGCTTCTCAAACAACCGCAGTTCCGATGCACTTTCGACAAACGTGGACACGCGTTTCTCGTATCTTCACCCGGGTACGCGACTCTTCTCTTCGTGCTGGCCTTCGGAAGACGTCCACGTCGGTCTCTTCAAGAACCGTTCAATTAAGAAATCCCACTCGAAGACACATGCGTAAAACTCGAAGACAGGCTCTTCTTTCCTCGATTTTGTCCTCGCTGACTCGTTGCTCAAAAGTCCTCTCGATATTGCTCCTTAGATGTGACACGTACGGTGTGGATAATTAGAAGAAATCCACGGTACCAGTTCCGGGATTCATCAGTCGCCGAGAATACACGAGTCGCGGTAGACGGTCGACGCGAATCTGGAATTCGGCCGTGATTCAAATCTGATTATCTCCTCGATCCAATTAGAAGGGTGCGCGGACCCCCGTGAGGGGGGGCAGGGTTCGTTCCGTCGAACGCGCGTCCGCGATCAGCTGGCCTTGAAAATTCGAATATCGAAGTAATTGGCGAGAAATGGCTCGGTATGAGGAAATGGCGCGCACCGCGGGACGACGACAACGACGACAACGACGACGACGACGACGACGACGACGAGGACTAGGACGAGGACGATGACGGCGCCGACGGCGACAACGAGGACGACGAAGGCGACGTGCCCGACGCACCCTTCCGTCCTATCTTCCTTCCTTCCTTCCTTCTTTCCTTCCTTCCTGACGAAGGACAACGCGGTGGGAAAACCCGGAGACGACAAGAGCGGTGAGCGAGTCAGAGGGGGCGACTGCTCGCCGTGAGTTCTTGTGGGATTCTGTCCGCGAAATGCAGTTATCCCGGTGACTCCGCGCGGGGGTGAGCGAGCAGAGTTACGCGTACGAGGGGGTTGCCTGCCTGCCTCTCGACCGTCGTCGTCGCTTGTGGTAGGGGTTTGTTGCTCGTAACCGGTCGCTACCACCCGCGCGCCCCCCCTCGATCCCCCGACCACCCCTCCGGTTCTCTGCCCCCGCGCGCCGCCGCCGTCACCGCCGCTACTCCCGGCGACGCGAGGGTGCGAAGTGCCTGGCGGACGCGCTGGATTGGCCCGACGGAGGGTACGTCGCCCGGGCGACGGCCAATCGCGGGGGTCGCCGGGATGCCCGCGGCGACCCCACCGCCGCCGCCAACATGGCGCGCGTACCAATAAAAATTCCTCCAGAAAATAGCCTGCGAGCGATTTTCTTTCCGGGGCTACCAGCGTGCAGCGCTTTTCCGACCACGCACACGCTTCATCCCAGTCACCAATACGCGCGCTGGGAGGGATATGGCGTAGGAGAGATCCCGCTCGCCATCCCCTGTCCTCGTCATCGTCTCTCGTCTCTCGTCTTTCCCACCCTCGGGCCTTCCGTTCGTCTCTCTCGTCCCATCTCCAGCATCACCGCTGTCTCTCTCCCTCTCTCTTTCTTTCTCTCTTTCTCTCTCTCTGCCTTTTCCTCCGCGCGACCGCGCGCGCACGTTGCGCTCTCGTCTTCGTTTTTATTATCTCGCGGCAGATAGCTTTTTTAATTCTTTTCCCCCCCTTTTTCGGGGATTTGATTGTAATGTACACCCACGCCTGTGACCCACCTGCGTGCCGCACGTATATAGCCGCGCGGCGCCGCGCGACGCGGCGGTGGCGCATCGTTTGCGCCGTGAGATGCATTCGGCTCGGCGCTAAATGTCTTTGTGTATATCTCGCGCCCGGCTTTTTCGGAGGATTTGTAATTTGGAGACTCGCAGAGCGGAGCTCTCCATCTTCCGTCTCCCGACCCTTTCACACCGCGCCGCACGTTCCGTCTCCTTTTTTTTTTCGCGTCGGGCCGCGGTAGATTGCGTTTCTTGATTTCCTCCCTTTTTTCGAGACCCCGCCGAGATCGCCCTGAACCCGCGCAGCTTTCGCTCTGCACAGTGATGGACAGAATGGTCGCGACACTTTTTTTTCTAACGAGTTTAGGAACATGCATTTGGATTCAGGGTTACGTCCCGAAATCTTCTTCTCCGAGGAATACTTTACTCGACGTTCCATTCCGAAACCATTTTGAGCGTTGCTGATCTATTTCTTGAGTAAACTTTTCCTCGTGGAAAATGTTTTGTCCGTCAGTGTGCACCCCCGCAGGATCGCCCATTTTATTGGTTAAATCCCTCCGACTTATCTGTCGATAACAAATTGTTGACTGTTGAGAGAAAACCCGAACCATTGGCCATTTCTATGTCGTTCTCGGTCTTAGACAACGCAGCGTGACATTTTTACATTACTGAAAAACTTACATTAACGACACCCGCAGCGCGATAATCTCTGAAAAACTTAAACGGGACATCGATACGATCGCGTCGTTTCCCACGAAGTCAAAGTTTAATTTGATCGCATCTGACTTTCTGGATTAGTAGGAAACTGGCCGTTAATAAGGGAATATCCGTAAAACTCTTAGGGGCGCCAATTATGCTGAGCAGCATGGATCATCTATTCTGGTTGCGCATTCGCCATGTCCTCATTCTCGCTACGGCGTCCCTTCGCGATTTGCATCGTCATAGCTGTCGGCATTTCCATTTTCATTTCTGGCTTTCTTTGCGCCGGAGCTACCTTCACTTTGTCTCACGGTGGATATCATTTTTAAGTCCCCCGCCGTCTCTCGCGCGCCCCTTTGTGCGTTTCTGCTTTCCTCCACTCTATTTTACCTTTTCTTTCTCGGTTTTTTCTCTCTCTCTCTCTCTCTCCTCCGCGCTTTTTTTTGCTCTCCTCTCTTGCCTTTCTTTGCGGCGCGCATTTTCTTTTCTCGCGGGCGCGCATATTCCGTCGCGCCCGCGAGAGCCGTCGTCTCTCCTCGCTCTTCGATTTTCCGCGAGAGTCGTCCTTCGTCCTTGCGACCTCCTCGGGGCGTCCCCCCGGCGCAACGAGAGACGGGACCCGCGAGAGAACGAGAGGATTTCCTCGACCGCGCCGAGGGAGATCGATGAGCTCCGCACCGCGAGATCGAACGGAGCGGCGGAAAGGGAGCACGACGAAGAAATGTAAAGTTTCGAGAGCGGCGCGCTTTCAAAGGCCCGGCTGCCGTTTTCATTGAACTGGCAAAAGTCAATTTGCTGGCTTCCCGGAAACTGGGCCACCGACATTGCGCGGCTTGGTCAAAACAAGATAAACAACCATTCCGCGATTTCGAAAAAAAAAATACAGAAAACGAACCGGACCGATATATTCTATAAAAAAATCTTTAAAACGATAACGTGTTTAAAAGTATTTTTCAATGTCTCGTCCTACAGCTACCTAACTAATAAAGCGACTAGATAAAGCAATTACGAGCGATGAAAAAAAAACGTTTCTCTGACGCAGATATAAAATTAGCAAAACCACGATGTGTCTCCGTCGCGTCGCGTCACGAAAGAACTCGGGGAATAATTTTTTTTTTATTGGTCCATTACATTAAAATCTAAACTTATCGATATTATGTCAGTTTCATTAAATTTATTTGACGACAATAATAAATTCTTTTTTATCTAATTTATTAAAAATACATTATAAAAATTTTACATTTTTAAACGAACGCAATGACGTAATTTGAAATGGTCGTTTGACGGAAACGTTGTACGGCGAGCGAAAAAACAAAGTATTAATTAGTAGTGCTTTGTATAATTTTTATTTACACAAGGAAACGTCCACGATTACACACATGTGTATTCGATAATTCTTCAGTATTTCTTCTAACTAATAATACGTCATACCTAAATTTAAATGCCCTCGTTAAAGAAATTGAATGAAAACGCGACACGTAATGCGGTGCCGGAGAAGTCGCCGCGTGCGGATCAAAGCCGACAATTTTTCGATGTGTGGATACAAGGGTAGATGGGCAAGGGGGTACCATATCGGCAGGGCGTGGTCGAAATCTGTCACACTAGCCGCGAATAAACTACCCTGTAAGGAACAATATCAAAACTTCGGAACGAAATATAGAGAACACTTTATCCT